GGAGGAGGAGGGGGAGGGGGAGAGGGAGGAGGAGAAGGAGGAGGAGGAGGAGGAGGAGGAGGAGGAGGGCCCAAAGTCGAGGTGCGCGCATCTCGATCTGGGGCCCTCTTGGGGTCTGCCCGAAGCTGTCTTGGAGCCTCCTTTGCGGCCTCTCGGGGCCTTCTGGGGGCATCCTTGAGGCTTCGCGCGGGTCTCGACCAGCACGTTCGCAGAAGCGTTTTGCCCGCGGCCACGTGGGCCCAAGACGCAGTTGGGCAGCCCAGGAACGCTACGAGGCCAATGTAGGCACAGTAAGAGAAGGAAAGGCGCAGAGTGGGGAGAGGAAGCCGCTGGCGGCGGAGCACGCTCAGACCATGAAGATCTTGTGTACGTGGATGCCGGAGCACAGGCTTACACGGAAGGCAGCGGGAGTGGTGAGGCAGATTTTCGAACCAGGCGCGGCAAGAGCGGGAAATGCTGGGGGCCTCAATTCCAGGGCGATTGCGCCTGCAAGTCATGCAAAGGACAGTCCAGCAGTCACATGGAGACTTTTGGGGGTCGCTCCTCCTTCCTTTCTCCCTCCCCCTCCTCCCGGCCCGCCCCCCGGATTGTTGCGGCGGCTCTTCCTCCTCTTCTTCCTGCCATTGCGTTGCGGACGGGCGGGCTTTATGGTTTCAGTTTATGTCTGAGCCTAACGGTTGCATTGTGTCCGGCACGGGTTTGCCCAAGGCGCTCGCTATTCGGGACAAAGGTTCCAGTAGTTTGTTGACGGAGTTTTTGCGGGGCAGTGTTTCTCCTCTTTGCCTTCCTGCCCAGAGCCACCGGCCTCGCCAAGCAGAAATGAGGAGTGCGCCTCTGAATTTGTGGGCAGGCAAGCAGAGAGTTCCACCAGCCTGTCTTGTGTAGCGTTTTGTTTTTGGCACGGGCCACTGGCAACCAATGCACGCACAATTGGTTCTTTGTGGGCTCATCGATTGGGGCATCAGGCAGGCGAGCATTGATCTCTGCGACAGCTTGCAGAGAGACGCGCACCGGCTGATATGCAGCACTCGCGTAGATTGGCTCCCATACTCGGTCAGACCCCCCTTTGTCTATCATGTGCTCCTCGCTGCCGTTCTGATTCTCTCAGGAGGGGAAAGACCACACAGACACAATGAATCGTCGACTCTCAGGAAAATATGGAAAAATACGGGAAGTGGGGGGGAAGACAAAGACCCTGAAGATATGGGACAAAAATATGGGGACTCCTTCTATTTGTGTGTATCGATTGGTGTGTCTCAGGGCCCCTTCATTCTCATGGTGGCTTCGCCCTCCGCCGCTGGGCCGCCCCCTCGGGTGGATCCGTGGCCCAGCGGCGCTCGGATTGGAAACGCCTGTGGGCCCACTCGGAGCTCCTTGTGGCCCGGACGCTCTGCCAAGAGAGAGCAGCCCGCCCCCGCACACACGCACACACACACACACACACACTTCAGGACGATGTCTCATTTGGTCGGAGCACATATGGATGCAATCAACGCGCTCCCTCGGCGAAAGACTTGCCAACCGCCACGTCTCTGATTCTTCACGGCGTTCCATACAGTGATGATAGTTATTTACGCATATGCTTCTCATCCGCGCTGTCGCCTGTAAAAAAAAAACCCTGTACGATTTGAGCCATGTTCCAGTAAGTCTCTCGCGCGGCATCTTTATTTAAAAGGCCTTTATCCATTGTGGAACCATTTTTGGGATTCCATAAAAACGGTGTTGCCCGTCAGTCGGCTGTTGCTTACTCTGCAATGTATTAGTGGCCTTGCCTGAAGCAGAAGCAGCCGACGACGGGACTCGTGCCGCCAGCCCCAGAAAGAGGAGCTCTGAAAATACCTAGATCTATACATATACATATACGCACCTCCATACATGTACGTCACATACATGCATGTGTATGTATAATATGTGATGTGCGGGGTGTGGGGGGGGCTTGGGTTGCCTTCATTCAGCGTCTAGAAACAATTATGCAGAGTTGAGTCGTTGGTATCCCAACTCCGCGCCTGCAAAAACGAGTCGAAATGGAAAGCTCGCCTTGGGGAAAGCGTCGGTGACCCCGTTTTCTGTAAAAATCAAGGCATCGGATGTCTGAGAGGCAGGCTTCAGTCATCTGCTGACACGCTGGAACCAAGGCTCTACGCACAGTGGGGCAACGTTGCGATGTGTTCGGGGCCCCCGTTGGACTACTCCAGCGTCCCTCGGGGGCCTCTTAGGGGCCACGCTGGGGCTGTCATTGAGACAGTCTTGGCGCCCTCATTCCCACCCCCCCGAGACCTCTGACGCCCTGATGGTTTCTCCGCGCGGAACCTCTGGCATCTCGACCCCTTCCCCAGGGACAGGCTGTTCGTCCTGACTCGTTTCGTTGCCGGCCCAGGTGCCTGGTACTATGCAGGTGAAGGCCCCCCAGAGGCCGAACGTTCCCAAAAGATTGTGCCGCGTTTTTTTTTTCCTGCCCACGACGAGAGGGGGTCTGAGACTCGAGGCCTCCCAGATGGGGTCCGAGTAGATAGGGTCGGAGGATCGCGCCGCATCGCCGATACATCGCCGATGCGGCTCGATGTGGAGCCCGATTTGCTTCACGTCGACTTCACCGATGCATCGCGCAACGTCGACGGTGCATCGCTGGTGCATCGCCGATGCATCGCCGATGCATCGGCGATGTATTGGCGATGCGGCGCGATCCTCCGACCCCATCTATTCGGACCCCATCTGGGAGACCGGATTCGTCGTGGCCCCGGTGGCCGGACGGGGCCAGGACGAGGAGGAATCCGCTCCAGAGCGCAGAAGGAACGCTCTCGAGGCATGCCGGAACGCTCTGGGAAGGGCGCGATGCCCGAGACATCCTCCGGAGTCGCGGGAGCTCAGAGATTGCGAAGGCCTTACGGCCAGTGCCGCCGACCTTGCAGACGGAGACGACGAGCAAGACAAGGACGTTAAGTAGCAGGAGGCGGAGGACGTCAGGGAGCAGGAGGGGAGAGGAGGAGTAGGAGGAGGAGGAGGAGGAGGAGGGGCACAGGAGGATGAGGAGGAGGGGAACAGGAGGAGGAGGAGGAGGAGGAGGAGGAAGAGGAGGAGGAGAAGGAGGAGGAGGAAAGGGGGAAATGAATAGGAGCAGGACGCGGGATCTCAGAGATTCTCGATTTATCCTCACCCGGCTTCCTCTCCGCGCCATGGCTGCGTCTTCGAAGGAGCAGCAGCTTCTCCGGCGGCTTTCGGGGCCGCTCCTCAGATCGAGGCCTCGGGGAATGTACCGATGCGTGGCCGAGGCTCGACGTGGCCGGAGACACGCATTCCTTACAGTGGAAGCCTCTTCCTCCTTCTTCTCCTCCTCCTCCCATGCCAAGACCTCCCGGGTGCCTTGGGGTTCTTGGGTTTCGATGGTTTTGCAGTAGAGCGCGTGACGTTCCCGCACCAGAAATCAGTGGACGTTCTGGGGTCTCGGGGTTCGGTTCTTCTTGTGGAAGGTTGCTTGTGGTCGGGCCCCTACTGTAGTCAACCTTCCGAAATGTAAGGCGATCACTGGGCGGGGTCCCCCGAAGCTCCAAGTCTTTCCCCACGTCCAGCTGCCTGTCCCGAGGTGCCTCTGACGGCCCCACGACCCGGCGAGGGCCCCCGGGTGCCGAGAACCGGGGGGAAGGCGTTCGATGTTCGGGAACGCCGACCCCTGTCCTCCCCAATGGAGCCACAGTATCAGGAGGGAAAAAAACACACAGACATAATTAAATGTCGATGCCCCAGACAAATACTGGTAAATATTGGGAGGGGTGGGGAAGACAAAAACCCTGAAAATATTAGAAGCTATGGGGAATCCTCTTATTTGTGAGTATTTATTTGCGTGTCCCAGTGCCCCTTCACAGTAGGCGGGGTCAAAGGATCGCGCCGCACCGCCGATGCCGCATCGGCGGTGCGTCGGCGATGTGGCGCGATCTGGAGCCCAGCCTTCCTCATCTCGCCGTCGCCGACGCATGGCCGCTGCGGCGCTATCCTCCGAGCCCACTTGCTCCGGCCCCACTCGGGGAGGCCCCCCTGGAGTCGCCACGAAGGGAGGCGGCCTTGAGGGACACAGGTCCTCCAGTCAACCCGCATAGGAAGGATGGGCAGCCTTCCAAAGGGTACCCTTGCATCCCTGCCTCCTCAGTCCATCCTCGGCCACTTCTGTTGGCCGCGCCCCGGTCGGGAAGCTTCGAGATGGGTTCCCAAGGCCCTTGCATCCTTATCGCGCATCCTTGATATGCGGGCTGACTGTAGAGCACGGGGCTAGGACCACTTCTTCCTCCCGAGTCGTTGCTTGGCTGTGCCGGGCCCCGTGGAGGGCCCCCAGACAGACAGAAGCCGTGCACATCAGAGGTGCGTTGGCAGAAATGTTGAAACGGAGACTATTGGGTGAAACGGCGAGCGTGCGAAGCATGGCAATTAGGGGGAGGAAGAGGAGGAGGAGGAGGAGGAGGAGGAGGAAGAGGAGGGGGAGGAGGAGGAGGAGGAGGAGGAGGAGGAGGAGGAGGAGGAGGAGGAGGAGGAGGAGGAAGAGGAGGAGGAAGAGGAGGAGGGCCCCCGGGTGCCCAGAAACGGCAGGACGGTCTCAGGACCCCCGTTCCTCCAGGATCTGTTCCCTTCTGCGGAACGTCGGCGGCGAGCCCAGGGGGGGGGGAAGCGAGGGGGCAGGCCTGATTCACGCTGCATTTTCGGGGGGCCTCGCCTGTCCCCCAAAATTGGCGTCTTTTCTCGTGCCCGACGCCGGCTCGGTGCGGACTCGACGCGGATTTCGCGCGGATCCGACGCGGATCCGACACGGATTCGACACGGATCCGACACGTCCGACACGGGTTCGACACGGATTCGACGCGGATCGGGCCGCGACGGGACAGAACAGGCCCCCCGAGGTTGCAACAGAACCTTCTCAGGAGCCCTCCAGGATCGGTTCTGTTCCCCTTTCGTGCTGACCGGAGGCGCAGTGAGTGCGAGACCGCGTTGCGCATGCAGCAGCGTATAGGGCGCGGTGTTCTTCCTGATCGGGTCTGTCGTGTGGCCTTCGTCTCCTCTCCTCTTGCTCCTTGTCTCGGGGCGTCCTCGGATGATCCCGTGCGGAGTCCAAAACCAGACCAGAGCCAACAAAAAAGGCTTCTCCATCGCCAGAGGGGGGTGGGGCGAGGGGGATGGCGCGAGCCCCAGGCACGCTGGCGGGCGCCCTGCCACAGGCGCTGGCGAGCCGGAGGTGGCGCGCGGGGTACTCCGCAGGCGGCGCCGCCCCCCCCCCCACCCCACCCGCGACGACGACGATCCAGGTGTCCGACGTCTTGAGGCAATCAGGGCGGAAGCTTCTCAGAGTCTTCGGCCTCTGCTGCCGGGCCAACCCCTGGGGATAGTCAGGGGGGGGCAGAATGGGTACGGAAACAGTGGGCACATGGTCCAGCAGCAGATCTTGTGCATGCTGGACAGGATTCGCTGTCGGCGTTGACGCGGTCGTTGCCGATGTGAAACACAGGCTCGCTTGCCCAGCAGCGGCCGCCATCGGTTTTGGACCATTGATGTTAGGCATCGCACCCATTTTTTCCCTGTAGCCTGTTCTGGCGCCCAAGTATTTGGAGCCGTCGCCTGGCGGCAGTCGGATTGGAAACGGTTCTGGGCCCGCTTGGGGCGTTCGAAGCCCAGACGTTCAGCGCATCGAGAACATCAGGGGTGGACCTAAATGGTGTTTGGGCGATTTCGTGAGCCGTTTCCGTTTCGATACCGTTCTGCGGTAAAGGCGGATTGATGAAAAACGAGGGAGAACTAAAACAAAACGAAAACGAAAACCACTGTGTAGCTCCAGCCCTGGAGAACATCCAGGCCGATTTGTTGCGCAGGTTTTCGGCCTGCGGGGTCCTTCGCTGGGCCCCGAGCCTGGAGAGACGAGTCGGAGTGGAAAAGCCAGCCCTTCTGGGGACGCCGCACTGCAAATATCATGGCGTCGGCTCATCGGCTGTCTGGGACGCGGCGACAGCAGCATTCGAGGATCGATGGTTCGTTCGTCGTATGGTGGTGGACAGGCTGGCGGACGGGCCAGACGATCTCCCGTCCGACGACTTGCCACCGCACATCGGAGCGGACGTCACGGACGTCTGGGCCAGCAGGGGGGGGGGAATTTGTCCAGAATGCACGCCAGATGACCTGGGCCAGCGCCTTCGTGGCCCTGGGAGACCGCATGCCACTAGGAGAGCACAAAGGGCCGGAGGAGAGGTCTGGAGGCTGCCTGTTGTCGTCGCGACCACCCCAGCTGACACTCTACTAGTTACTACGAGGCGACCAGAGCACAGGAGGCTGGCTGCTAGCGGGGCCAAGGTGGCTCTCCTGCCCCCTGGTGTCTGATAGCGACGCCAACGCCAGGTGGGATCCGCGGTTTTGCCGCACTTGCAGGCAGCATCGCCCAACCCTGCGCACTGATCAGCAAGTGGAACCCTTAACGGAGGTCGTGGTTGCGAAATCCCCTTTCCCCGACCAGGACCGCCCCAGTGGCCCATGGAAGTGACGTTTGACGGGGGGGTACAGTCGGCTGACAGCGGCCGCCTTTTAACAGCACCGCCCAGGCGGGGGCAAGCCTTGCGATTGGCCTCCTGCGCCAACTCCATACCTGGCTCCGACAGCGCGCAGCTGGCCGAGGCCACTGGGTGTCAGGCGGGTGGCGAACACGACGCCCAGGGTCATGATGGCCCGGACTGTCGGCGACAAACTGGCCTCCTGCCCTGACGCGTCGATCAAGGAATTGGCCGTTTTCGGTTCGCGAGAGGGCGTCGCGGCCGTCATTTTTGCAGGTCCGTCGGTTTCGGCCCCAGGCCGTTCTCACGAAGGGGAGGTGTACGAAAGGGAGGTTTGTCCACCGCCGACCCCCTCGCCACGCGGATGGGCCCACGGGCGCGGCCCCTCGGCGAGCGAGGAGGGGCCCTTGCGTGGCAGGCCGTCCGGCGCCGCCTCGATGCTGCAGGCGACCGCTCTTGCCCAGTGCTCTGCATGTCAAAGTGATGCAATTCAAACAACAAATAATATACATATATATATAATGTATTATTTTATCTTCTGGGAAAAAGCAGGGGCAAGCGACCGCCCTGCCACACCAGGATGCGTTCTGGGCCGACCAGCTCCGACAGTCGGGTGACCTCTCTGTCCGTGCTTGGACTGCCGGGTGCTCCTCGCAGCTCGCCCTGGAGCGCCGCTGTTCACGTCTTCCGTGCGACGATCAGTCGCACCTGGCGCACCTGGTGCACCGCGCTCATTTCTACACCCCTGTGCGGCCGCTTTTGCGCCGGCACGTGCGTGCATGTGCGCGGCATGTGCCCAGCATGTGCCCAGCACTTGCGGGCCTTCTGGGTTGGATGCCCTATTGTGCATGCGCGCCCGGGCATGTGCAGAGTCATGTGCGCTGCGTTTGGTGCATCACTTGTCTGCACATGCCCGCACATGCCGGCATGCTGTTGAGACTTTTGCAGGGTTGCATGGGCATGTGCATGCGACCGCGCGGCAAGTTCGTGCATGCGCGGCCCCTTGCGGACCTCAGAACGAAAGCGAGCACTCAGACACGGGCACGGTGCAAACCTGGCAGGGCCGACAGCGAACCCATGGGCAAGCGATGGACCTGCCCTCCGGTGGCTGCCACCCCTAGCGCCGTGGCCCCAGTGGGCCCGCGGTCGGGCCCAACGGCAGGCTCAAGCTCCACTGCAGACGAGCGGCCTGGACGCGCTGAGCGAAGTCTGGCAACCTCTGGGGGTGCCGCTGCGACGCACTTCGCCGGCGGCAGAGAAGCCGCACTTCGTCTTGGAAGGGCACCGCCTCCGGCTCGACCAGCAGGCTGCCCACGGGCTCCCCGACCTCCAAAATCGGCAGCAAGGGCGACCACGGGGGGGGGGGATCTCCACCCCCGAGATCCCGCAGCTCCAGCATCCTGGCTGGATGGTCGTCACGAGGCCTCGAGGCCGTCGACGAGCAGCTCCACGACGAGTGGGACTACGATGGCGGAGATCTGGACGCCGCGCCCGCCTGCCCACCAGCAGCAGCGCCAGCCGTCTGGACCCCGCCACCAGGCACCAAGGCGGGCGTTGACCGCACCCGGAGCCCCTGGCACGGCTGCGACGTAAAAGAGTCAAATCAGTCCGATTTCAGGGGTGCCGCTACGCAGGCGGCCCTCGCAAGAGTCGGGCTGCCAGGCTCCGCGCTTCGCAGCGCTGGCCCCGATGCCCCGCTGGCGGGGCGTCGTGTTCGCCTCTTCTCTTTCTCCTTCTCCTCGCCGAGCGAAAAAGACGCAACAAGCTCAGCTCTCCATGTCCGACCAACGTAACAAAGAAAAAGCAGCGAAGCGGGAGCAGGCGGAAGCAGAAGGAGGAAGGAATAGGAATGAAGAGTGAGTGAGGCGGAGGAGGGAGGTAAAGGGGCAGAGGGGAGAGGGAGAGGGAGCAGCAGGGAGTTGGGACAGGGAGGACGGAGCGAGTCAGCGGGGCCCGCCCATCCCCACCCCCCCTCCCAGATATACGAGTCAAGACAGGCCTCCTAGATGGGGTCCGAGTAGAGGGGGTCGGAGGATCGCGCCGCATCGCCGATGCATCGACGATGCGGCTCGATGTGAAGCCCGTATTTCCCCACGCCGACGTCACCGATGCATCGCCGACGTCGCCGATGCGGCGCGATCCATCGACCCCACCTGCTCGGACCCCATCTAGGAGGCCTCTGATCAAGCGTTCCCAGCTTGGCGAGGGAGAGACAAAAACACGGGCCGCGCACGGGCGGGGGGGCGGAACTTCAGAAAGTCTTTACGCGGCTCTGCGGCGGGAGTTCCAGTTGTTCTTGTTCCGGGTGGCCAGGACTCCGATGGGCGCGGCGAGCACGCAGCGTGCGCCGCGCCGAAGCAGCGCCATCTTCACTCGAGCTGCGCGGCGTCTGGGCGAGGCCCGCTTCTTTCGCGCGGCCTCGCTGCCGGCGCTGCTCTCACGCGATGCGGCGAGCGAGACGTGCGCCGCGCCCACGCGGGAGCGCCACGCCCGGACGAAGTTCGCACGGAGCCGAGGCGAGGGCGACCAGTCGCCCGCTCGCGCGCGCCCCGGCCCCGAACGACTGGACGAGTGACACTTCTGCGCAGCGCCGGGGCGTCGCTTTCGGGGGGAAGCTGCACGGCACCAGGGGCGAGAGCGACATGTTCGTTCGCTCGGGCATCGACGGATCGTCGATTGAAAAATGGTGCGCCGCGCCTAAGCGGGAGCTCGATCCTTCAGGAAAGTTGGCACGGCGCCCAGGCGAGAACGGTGTTCGCCCTGTCGCGCGTGAGGTGCGCCCCGTCTCATTCCCGCCAAGCATGTTGCAGTGTGGACGCCAAAACGTCCATGTTGAAGGGACAAATTCGCTGCTATAGGCTTACGCCACATCCGCCGACCCCTATATAAACTATTGCGCCTCCAGGGCTGCATTTCACGAGGCCTGTCCGAATCATGGCACGGCGCTCGACATCGTTCCTGTTGCTTCGCTGCTGTTATCGTACCTTTTGGTGCTCTTTTGCGGCTTTTTGGTGGCATCTTGGCCTGTCTGCAGGCCATATCCGGCCGCCTCGAGGCATCTTGGGCCACGTTGTGGGGCCTCTTGGGGGCTTCCTGGGGGCTTCGTGGAGGCCTTCGAATTTCTCTTGGGGGTCCCTCAGGGCCTCTTGGAGTGTTCTTGGGGCAGGCTGGGGGCGTTTTGGGGCCGAGGGCTCGAAAAGGTGCCCTCTGGACTCCGTCTTGGAGCCGTCCGGGGGCCCTCTTGGGCTGTCTTGGGGGCTTCGTGGGCTGTTGTTGGACCCTCTTCGACCCTTCTTGGGGGCCCCTTTGGCCGTCTGGGGGCGATATCGAGGTTTTTGTTGCCCGTCTGGGACGTTGTGAAAACCGAATAGGCGAGCATGCGAAAAATGTTTGTTTTTCGAAGGGACTGGGACGATGTTTGTTTCTTGCGACCCTCTTGGGGCGCATCTTGGGGGCCTTTTAGGGCGTATTGGCAGCTTCGGAGGCCGCCTGGAGGCCATCGTTGGCGTTCAGGGGCGATATTTCCCGAATCGTGGCCCCCTGGGGCCGTCTAGGGAGCGTTTTGGCGCCTTCTTGGCCAGTTCTGGAGCCCTCCGCTCCCCCGTGGCGCGTTCGGTCCGGGGTCCGGGGCGGCTAGGGGGGGGGGGTCAAATTGCCGGTTTGAGGTCCTTGGGAGAGGGATTATGGGGGGGATAATCTCACACGCCTAGAGACCCACAAGGGGTCGGCGGACTTTGTATTGGCTTTTGATGGGTAGGGTGGGACCTCCCGGATCTCGTTGCCATGTGCCGACTAGGCGGCCCAGTAAGTATACACGATCCAGGGTCGAGGGTGTACGTAGCCCCCTCCACATGGGATGGGTCCCCCCCCCTCCCCAGGTGGGATGGGGACGACGACGATGACGACGACGACGACGACGACGACGACGACGACGACGACGACGACGACGACGACGACGGCGGGGACGACGACGTCGACGGCGGGGACGATGACGACGCCGACGCCGATGCTGACGTCGACGATGCCGACGCCGACGCCAACGCCGAAGGAAGACGACGACGACGACGACGACGGCGACGGCGACGGCGACGGCGACGACGAAGATGACGCTGGCGACGCGACGCCGACGACGGCGACGCCGACGACGACAACGACGACGACGATGACGATGGCGATGGCGACGACGACGACGACGACGACGACGACGACGGCGACGACTACGACGACGACGGTGACGACTACGACGACGGCGACGGCGACGGCGACGGCGACGGCGACGACGACGACGACGACCCCAGTGCTGAGGCCGACGACGCCGACGCCGACGCCAACGCCGACGGAAAACGACGTCGGTGACGACGCTGGCGACGACGACGCCGACGACGACGACGCCGACGACGACGACGACGACGACGACGACGACGACCACGACGTCCTCCTCCACCACGCCACGCCCACTTGGCAACGACCACAGGGGCGGGGGGGGGGTCCCGATCCCATCAGCATTCGCGAAGCCTTCGCGAGGCTCGGCTCACGGGCGTACCCATCGAGCGGGGGGAGGGGCCGATTTCATTAGCATGGGAGGGCGGGGGGCGGAGCCCTGAATCATCTATGTCGCCGCGCCGTTTGTTCCGAAACGTGGCCTGATGCATTGGAAAGGACGTCTCGGCCACCAGGGCAAACTCCACCCGGGACGCGGAGTTTGCCGTGGGTTTGCCGCGACGGTTTGCTGCGATCATGGTTGCAGCGTGAGAGCACGTTGAAATGCACCGCTGGGCGACGGCCCAAACGACGTCACCAGGGCCCAACAAGGCGACCGAAGGACAGCCCCAGGAGATGCCCAAGCCAGCCTCGATGAGGCCCCCTGCCAGCGCACTAGCACCCCCAGAGAGCCCTCACCAATCTTGTCGAGGAGGGACATGGACGGACATGAGGATGTGGCACGCAGGGGAGGGAGGGAGGGAGGAGGCGAGGAGGGAGGAGGCAGTCAGGATGCAGGAGGTGGACGAGGTGGTGGAGGGTGGGCGCAGGAGGGGAGGGGAGGGTGGTGGAGGGCGGACGAGGTGGAGGAGGGAGCCGAGAGGGGAGGGCGGAGACGCCCTGCGGCCGAGGCCCCTGCGGCTCGGAGGCGGGCCCGGCCCTCACTCCGGAGGCGCGCCCCGGCGCCGCGGCGGCGGCGGCCGCCGCCGCCGCGCTCTCGCCGACTCGCCGCCTCTCCCGCTGACGGCACTTGCCCTTCCGGGGAGAGGGGGGGCGAGGGACTACACATTGTTCATGTCTAATTCTTCGAAAGTTTTTGGATTTTTTGGGGGGGGGCAAGATCCTTTCATTTCTAGTTGTTCTATCCTGGGCCTCTTCCTGACCACTAGGGGGCCAGGACCAATTAGAAACGAGCACAATTAGAAATGAGCAGGATTAGAACTGAACGACGTGTACCCATCTGTCGTTGAAAGCATGTATTTTGGCATTCCCAGTGCCCAGATCTACTCAAGCCGCCTTCCCACTTCAAGGGTCGAGTGGATGTCCCTCTTCCCTCCTCCTGCAGGAGTTGTGCGGAAACCCAATCTGCTTCCCACGCCTTCCTACTTCATGGTTCCACCTGCTTCTTCCGACCGAAGGGTGCCGGCCAAGCTGCTAGGTATCCGAGCGGGCGGCCATTGAACAGTACCTCGGGTGAGTCGTTGTTAAGCCGAGGAGCTGCCAGTTGGGAGCACCCATTGCTTGGGGCGTGCTCAAACTCGCAGCCTGCTGCAGGGGGGGAAGAGGGAGATTGGCACCCGGCAGAGGAGGGAGGAGGCGGGGGTGGAGGAGGAGGAACAGAAGAGGCGGGGGAGGGGGAGGAGAAGGAGAAGGAGGAGGAGCAGGAGGAGGAGAGGAGGATGAGGAGGAGGACCAGGGTAAACCCAAGAGTGATCAACGATGTTGGAAGTAACCCTCCCTCCAAGCTCTCTCTTCATAGACCCCTACAACGTTTCATTTCCATTGGGGAAACTGCCTCGTTGGAAGATAGCCGTTCGAAGACCCTGAAGCATGCCAAAAACATTGCTCTCGAGATTTCAACGCCACGGATCAACCTGACTGCTGCGTCTTGACGATCCGGAATCGTGCCAGAGAACCGATTTGGGGATTTCAACACCGCGAATCAACATAACTGTTGCACCCGCATGATCCTGAATCCTTCCAAAACACGATGTCTGGTACGCTGATCATGGGAATCCGTGAAGCTCTTCCAAGCGAATGCGCGCGCAGCTAAAGCGAGAGCCATATTTTGAAAAGGAACCGCCCTCAACCCGTGAAGCCCTTGCAACTGTTTCAAACGAATGCGCGCGGCGCTAAGGCGAGCCACATTTTGAAAACCACCCGCCCTCAATCCGTGAAACTCTTGCAAGAATTTCGAGCGAACGTGCGCGGCGCTAAGGCGAGAGCCACATTTTGAAAACGACCCGCCCTCAATCCGTGCAACTCTTCCAAATGTCTCAAACGAATGTGTGCGGCGCTAGGGCGAGAGCCACATTTTGAAACGACCCGCCCTCAATCCGTGAAGCTCTTGCAAGAATTTTGAACGAACGTGCGCGGCGCTAAGGCGAGAGCCACATTTTGAAAACGACCCGCCCTCAATCCGTGAAGCTCTTGCAAGAATTTCGAACGAACTTGCGCGGCGCTAAGGCGAGAGCCACATTTTGAAAACGACCCGCCCTCAACCCGTGAAACTCTTGCAGTTGTTTAAAGCGAACTCGCGCGGCGCTAAGGCGAGAGCCACATTCTGAAAACCACCCGCCCTCCATTTGTGAAACTGTTGCCACTTTCGAAGCTTCAGAGTCATAAGTGGTGATGAAGTCTCAGGCGAAACGCCCGGCCCGCCCTCAAACCTTGCCTCGGGATGCGACAAGGAGAAATTATGTATGACGAAAACTAATGGAGGAGGAGGAGGAGGAGGAGGAGGAGGAGGAGGAGGAGGAAGAGGAAGAGGAGGAGGAGGTGGAGGAGGAGGAGGAGGAGGAGGAGAGGGAGGAGGGGGAGGAGGGAGGGGAGGGGTAGGAGTGGGAGGAGGAGGAGGAAGAGGAGGAGGAGGAGGAGGAGGAGGAGGAGAAGGGTGCGGGGGAGCAGGAGGTTGAAGGAGGGGGAACCAGGATGATGATAGCAAATCGTCTTCGTCTGCATATCAAGTCCACTGAGCCCCGTGCGCCGGACTGCGCACGGTGTCTTATATCGCGGCCCCTGCACGCGTGCGGCGTGCCGTCGATCACCTGATCGAGGATCGATCAATCGGGGTTCGAGTGTTAAGTCGGGCACGTCCCTCTATCGGGCCCGGACAGACCTCCCACCCAGACAAGTCGATTGAGGAATTGTCCTGGGACCTTGATTCATTTTTTCAAACTTGCATGGGTTCGCACCGTCGCGCCTCGTGTGCGTTGGCGTCGTACTGGTTGCAGCGGTCGTCGAGGCGTCGCGCGCAAACGCGCAATAAATCAAATTCAAAACATGGACGTTGCAGTTGCTAGGACATCTCTTGCAAGTGGAACGCAGGCCCGCGCTCGTCCCGCCTGGCGCAGAGGCAAGGGGGGCGTGCAAGCAAATTGTAGTAAGATGTGGAAGGGCTGTGGCCAGAATAGGGGGGCCCATCAGGCAATCGCATTCTCATGCGCACAATACGAACTACCCATTAAAGAGGGTTACGCATGTCAACTGTGCTACTCACGACGCGCATCGCGCGCCAATAGTTCTAGCGTTCGTTAGTGAATGGCGTAAGTCTACAATTGTGGTTCTTATCTGTCTCCTCCTTCGCCCTGTTACTACCCCCCCATCGCATCGCCGATCTGGCACGTTCAGTGTACGGCATTGAAACACACGGGCGCCCTAGTTTCGCACGGTTCCTTCCCTTACTACGACCCGTTTGCCTTGATTGAGCGGGGTCTGGAGGCCCGCTGCCACAGGGGCCGTCGGCGATGCGTTTCGGGGGAACTTAGAGCAGTTGCCTATGTGAGCAGATCGTGAGTACATTCGCCAGCCAGTAGCGCTTGTGGCAATCGGTAATGTCGCCCATGGGATTTCTGGGTGTTTCAGTTGTCGCCCAGTCCGCGTTGGCTGGCTCATTCTGTCGTTTGGCCCGCTAAACTTGTGTCCCTGCCAATATCCAACCGCCTCGCGCACTCGGCCAACCTTTCTTGCGTCGGAGTTGCCATCATCTTGAGTGCTCGCGGCGATTGGAAGTCCCTGAGAGGCGGTAGTGCCCCAAGCAGTGGTGTGGAGCTCGGGCTGGGGAGAAGCAGTCGCCAGGAATGCGTAGCACCCTGCAACTGCGGATAAGAGTTAGGGCGCGGGCGGATGGGCGCGGCGCCTGCGACGCCCGCTTCGCGACCCGCCTGCGACCCATCGGCCCCGCCACCCGCCCGTCTTGAAGGGGCACGAAAGCCCCTGGGGGCTGCAGAGGGAGGAGAGAGGAGGGAGGGAGGAGACGCGCGCCTTAGAGGGAGGGCCCCTTCTGCACTCGAGGCCTCGTGTGCCCTCTTGGAGCCTTATCGGGGAGTCCCGAGAGGGCCCCCCAGAGGGCCCCATGAAGGCTCCATGATCATGGAGGCGTCTTGGGGCCCTCTTGGGGCAATCTTCGGCCCCTCTCGGGGCTCCTCTCATGCCGCCCCCCATGGGCACTCTTAGGGCCTCATGGGCCGTCTTGGAGCCCTATCGGGGAGTCCCGAGAGGACCCCCAGAGGGCCCCAAGAGGGCACCATGATCACAGAGGCGTCTTGGGGCCCTGTTGGGGCCATCTTGAGCTTCTCTCGGGGCTCCTCTTGGGGCCCCAATGGTCGTGCCGACGGTGGTACTTATGATTCTCACCGGGCTTTCGCCCATTTGGGAGCGTCGAGGTTGTTTGGGACTTGGCACCACCGCCGCAGGCTCGGGGCGTCAATGGCACCACCGGCCCATCGGGCGACATCCGATTCCACTGGTGCACCCGTCACCGGTGGCAGAGCGCACCAGTGCACTCGGAACCGGGTTCCGAGTTCACCGGTACACTCTGCCACCACTTTCGGAGTGCACCGGTGCACTCCTTAAATTCGTCGGTTTCGCTAATCGACGTCTGTTTTGCCAGATACATTCAGCATTTTTTGCACGTCGATTAGTGACGTGCCCCTGGTACACTCGAAGTCGCTTCTCGGGTGCACCCGTGGCCCACTGGTACACCACCCGTGGCCTCGGGGAGGCAGGGGGGAGGGTCCTCATCCTCCCTATACGCCATCCCTCCCTCGTGCTCCTGGCCATCGTTCTTATTTCCCTCGTCCTCCTTCTCCGTACTCCTCGATACCTCCAGTAAGGGAGGGGTGCGTTGAGGAAGGAGGCGATGCATAGGGAGGCGGCATGGCAGGAGGGAGGGATGCATGGAGAGAGGAGTGGAGGCAAAGATGGAGGACGAGAGGTGGGTATGAGAAGATAGGATGAGGTAGGAGAAGGTAGGAGGAGGTTGGCGGTAGGGGGAGGGAGGTGGGAGGAGGTCGGAGGACGGAGGAGGGAAGGGCGTCATTGTGGTTGCTCGTCACAGTCGTGATCCGCTCCGTCGTTCTGCGTCGCAGTCGCGATGCAGTAGGTAACCATTACTGTAAGTGATATATTGTGTGCGTCGGCGTACAACGATCGCAAAGACTTAACAATCATTCTCGCCGTGGCTTTCGCATTATCGAATACGCCTACGGCGAGCCACCGCCGCTACCTGCTTTTTTTGGCAGCGCCTATGTGGCCAATCGGTGGGCTTCAGCTTGGCCAAGCTAGTCGGTGTGGCCAATCGGTGTGGGCAATATGTGAGCAGATTTTGAGGCGATTGTTCCCATCTCTTGTAAGCTCACAGGTTATTCGATCGTCGATCGTCGTCGTCGATCCTCGATCTTCCTCATTGTCGTGGAGCTCATGACCACATCCCGAAGCTCACGACCCCATCCTGGAGGATGGGGGTCGCGCAGCCCGTGGCTTGAAGCTGGCCTAGAGCTCTCGACCCCACCTTGGGGCTCTCTTCCCCAACTTGGATGCATGGGGGGAGGGGGGGATGGATTTGTTGTAATTCGCTAGACTTGCCGACCGAATCGAGAGGCCAATCCACGCTCGTGCCGCCCCTCGGCACGCGCACGCCCCTGAGGGCCCTGAGGGTGGAGGGGAGAGGCGCGCAGACCAGACTATTATCTCTCCGCCACTCCGCTCCCGCAGGCGGGAGAGGCTAAGCGCCCCAGGGCCTTGCCCATCTTCGGGTGCAAACCTCCACGTATGCGATCCCGTGGCCGGCGACGCGCGTCATCCCTCGCTCTTGCCGCGGGGCTCCAGCGGGCCGCAGCACTCCCGAGCCAGGAGCCGCACGCACACCTTGGAATGCCCTCCACACCACGCACACGCAGTATCCGTGATGCTGCTCCACCCTGTGTTTCATCTCATGGTGTGGCGCTTCCTGCCCGCCGCTGGCTTGGCCCATGACAGTGGCGCCCATCGCGGCTGTCACTACTGCCATGGCCGCTGCTGCTGCCGTGGACGAGCTGCCGCTCGTTATGGCCGCGCTTCTATCCCGCCGGCGAGCGAGCTCTCACGGCCTGGGCTGGCATTGGGAATGCCAGAGGCGACGACGCGGGCCTGGGGCCTTGGCCGACCTGCCGCAGGCGGTGCAGCGGAGCCACTGGCCGCTCCCCACCAGCGTGTGATTCGACACGTACAGGACTGGCGGGCCTGGTTCCGCCGGGCGAGGGCGCTCCGGCTTCGGGTCCACGTCGGCCCAGTCCCATTCGAGATTGTTGGGGCGAGAGTCGGAGGAGCGAGCTGGGGGCACGGGGCAACGTTCGGAGGGGCGGCCCCCGGTACATGTCACTGAGGGGAGGTTTACTTAAGTGAGGTCTATCCAGCCCCGACTCTACAGGAGGAATGTTCAAACATAGAGAGAGAGAGAGAGAGAGAGAGAGAACAACAACAACAAAAAATGGGGACGATTGATCTGTTATTGTTGGGTTAACCTCGATTTGATTAATTTTGAATACTTTTTGAGTAGCTTAAATTTTCCTCCGAAGCCCGCATGTAGGACATGCCCGACCGAATTCGAGTGTCGAGTCTTTTGGAAGTGGTTGGCCTTTTTGGGGTCTCCAGGGATCGAGGATTGATCGGTCGAGGCTTGTGGGGGCTGTTGGTCCCCTCGGGGCGCCTCCAGAAGGGGCCCAGGCGCGGGCAGAGGGCGAAACAGAAACAGAAATAACTAGGAAGTCAAGGGTATTTCATGCTCGAGCCGATGTTTGACTCGGCCCACAGCGGTGCGAGGGCCGGCGAGCGTGCTCCGGGCAGCCGACGTCGCCGCGCAGAGCTGGGAGGGAGGGGCCCACAGGGTACCTTGCCGTGCCCCTTGGGCTGCAGGCGCGCAGCGGCAAGGGTCACAGTTCCAGGCACCTGCTGCGCAGCCACCGAACGCTCGCGGAGGGGATGGCCGACATCGCACCGTACACCCAAGACGCCGAAGGAATGGCCACCCTGAGCTCGGGAGGGGCTCTGCTTTTCGGGCCGCTTCTTAGATCCAGGCCGAGGAACCTCTTCGTGGCCAAGACGCGCCGCGGCCAGACCCCGTCGTTCCTCACCTGGCGTTCCTGGTGGTACCGCGATGACCCTGTGCACGTCGGTCGGTGCCGGCCGAGCTGCCGGCGGGGACGCGGAGGCCCACGACGGGGTGACGAAGTCGGCCATTGCCGGTGCGGCTGCTACGGGTCGCGGTGGGGCGGCCGCGTCCCCGCGCAGGCCCGCACGCGCGGCTCGGTGATCTGTCGCGTCGGCCTGGGTGAGAAGGAGGAATTCGCTGGCCTGTCGAACGACGAACAAGGACAAGCAGCAGCAGTTTGCCATTGCAGCCCTGTTGGCGGCACTCGTCAACGGTCACAATCGGAGGTTGATAGACCTCCTACCCTGACACGTCGATCAGCGAATTGGCCGTGTTCGGTCCGCGAGAGCGGGTCGCGGCCGTCATTTTTGCGGGTCCAGGTCCGTCGGTTTCGGTCTTAGGCCGTTTTCATTGGAGGTTTACTAAAGGAAGGTCTGTCCACCGCCGATACAACCTCTATCGCTCGCCAGCAAGGCAGACTGGTCACCCTTGTCTCCGATCGCCCCCCCTCTCGTCTCCTCCCCCTCCTCGTCTTCACGAGATCCTCTTCACTGCTGCTCACCCCTCCTCCCTCTTTTCATGCCCTCTGCCTCCTCATTCCCCTCCTCATTCCCCTCCTCCTCCTCCTCCTCCTCCTCCTCCTCCTCCTCCTCCTCCTCCTCCTCCTCCTCCTCCTCCTCCCTCATCACCTCCACCACCGTCATCATAACCATCGCCATCATCATCTGCTGGAGTCACCACCCACGCAGTATTGATGCGTGGTCGTCCCACCTTAATCACATACTGTGCTCGTTCAGCCTGTCTCTCCCCTCTTTCGTTTAATATGCAGATATGTGCTCCTCGTGCGAAGGCAGCGTGATCGACGCCAGATCTCGGCTCTCCTTCATTTTGACACAGTTGCCATCCCAGTTCAGACCTCAGGGGAGTCTCGGCAGCGTCAGGTCTTTTGACAACAAACAGCCTGAGCTGCAGGACAGTGCGTTCGTGGTGGGGTGGGCGGGGGAGATGTGGAGGGTGGGGACTGCTTCTGCGTCTGCTCCCTCTGGCCGACTGCTCTCTGGTCCGTGCTGAACTCGCACGCAGGCTCCCCGAAAACCGCTCTTTGCTTCTCTTTCGCCCGACCGTGGGGGAGGGCGTTCGATACGGTGGCATGTAAGCCTCTGGAAGTCCGCGCTTAATCACCGTACGCAGGCGTGGCGACAAACCGTCTGCGGGGTTTGCGCAAACACCGCTTGCATGTCATATCTCGCCCGTGCGCCGCATGTTCCCGATGATGTACCAGGGTTGGGCCTGTCGCCGCCGCTGTCCCGAGCTGCCACACCTCCCAGCCGATGGGGCTGCGAGAGTTTCAGTTTATCAGTCTTGGGCTTAGCGGATGATTATTTTCCTGTCCTCTCTCGTACAGGCTGACTCTCGTGCGCAGCTTTATTGTCTCTGTACTGCACAATTGTATATTCTGCTAGGCGGAACCACCTGGACGACGCGACCTAGAGTGGGCCCACCAGCGTCTGTTGAAGCGCCTCTTCCGCGGCCTCGACGCCTTGCAGGTCACGCGGCCTCGCGTGGCATCACGGATGACGACAAGCGTCATCGGAATTTGCTCTCGCAATCTGGCTGGGGCAATGGCGTCTTATGGCTTGTCAGCCCACACGCGCGGTGGATGCAGGCCGGCTCGTCGCTCGAGCAGCTGGCCTTCCCGAGGTGTCTGGGCGCTACGTTCGCTCCGCCGGGGAACGCCTGCAGGCTGCGGCGCGCCGTTGCCGTCAAGGACGGCGGCGAGGTAGTGCAGGAGTGCAGCGGGTGCTCGGCCGGCGTGCCGCGCGTGCCTTGGCGTGCCCCCGAGGCGCCACTCGGCGGCGGGCCCACGTGGGTGCCGCGCACGGCCTTGAGGGAAAGTTGCGCGACGCAGGCGTCGTAGACCTGGAGCCTCCAGTGGCGGGTGCCCGACCTATATACTGGACGCGGCTGGACGGCCCCATCCGGGGGGCGATCATGGACCCTGTCCCTGGTTCTCCTGCCGGTGCCGAGCGTTGGAGACTGGACGCCGACGTACGGTCGCCGTTCAACGCCTCGCTCGCCGATGCTGGCCGCGTTGCTTGGGCCGCCGCCGCAGACGGCGGCAGGGCCAAGGCGACGCGCTACGGCGACCAGGGTCGCAGCACAGCCGTCGAGGCGGGCGGCCGTCTCAGTGCAGTGCTGGTCCCGGGGCGGCGCTCGGGTGGCAGGGCGGTCCTGTGATTTTGCTCTCCCCGGGGGGGGGGGGTCAGATGGTTTTTGTTGGGGTGGCTCGTGGGCGTTTGGTCTGCGTGGCGGCGTGAAGCGGCGGCGTGGCGGCCTACCCCCCTGTAGAATAGGAGCGTGGACTGACACGCGTAGGGGTGCGGCTTCCGCTCCAAAGTCGCCTGGGTGGGCCTACCGCGCACGTGAAGACATGAAGTGTTGCACCAATTCTGTACAATGATCTATGCCGTGTGGTATTTCAACCTCTGTAGCTCAACGGTTAGAGCGACAGTCTAAGAAGCCGAAGGTTGGGGGGTCCATTCCCAGATTCGGCCCAAATCTACGCGGGCGGCGGCTGCGCAAGGACATTGTGTGCTTGTGGAAGCGCCGCGAGCTCGCAAATCCCACGGGTTCGGTTTTTGATCCGTTGGCATTCGCCACTGGGGAAGCGCAAAGCGAACGCGCCATTCGACTTATTGGAGGCAGCCCCTAAATTCTGCGGGATACATCTTCAAATCCTTGGAACTCATTGCTGGGGAAGCGCACCGTGTGGAGACAGCCCGTGTTGGGACACCCGCGTGGGAGCTGTTTGGGAGCCGTTTTGGGGTCCGTGTGGGAGCAACGTGGGAACCGCGTGTGAGAGCGCTCGCGTGGGAGCAGCCCGTGTGGGGGCAGTCCGCGAGGGCGCCGCGAGGGCGGAGGAAAAAGTGGGAGGAAGGAGACAGGACGAGGATGCGAGGGGCTTGAGTCGACGTGGGCAGAGAGGTGGTGGAGGTACCGGAAGGAGGGGCGACGGGAGGTGGAGAAAGAACGGACAGGAGATAAAGGTGATGAGGACAGGATGCCGTGGATGGGGCGAAGTGGAGGAAAATCAAATGGGAAGTGTAAGGAAGGAGAGGAGGCGGATGGGGTGAGTGTGTGGAAATTGACGGGGTGAGGACAGGGAGAGAAACACGCGAACACCTAGTGAGCAACGAGTCGCCGTCTTCTTCCTCGTGGCAGTCTGAAGCGCCAACCTAATTAGGCTGACGGTCTGGGGGCAGAAGCGAAACAACGAAGTTCGACTGCAGATTTCCGTGGTTCTTGGGGCCTGACAGTTACCCCTCGGCGTGCTCAACCTTGAACGCCCGGCATTGCGGTCGCCGCCCCGCGCCGCGGGAGGGAGGGGGCGGCACAGAAAAGGTTGCGGAGGGGGAAATGAAGGGAAGGAGGCGGGTGGAGGAAGACGCGGCTCTGTTGGAATATGATTGGGGCTCCTACAGGGATTTCCACCAAGATTCCATCGAGGTTCCGCACTAAGATTCTTATCAGGGTTTCTAGTAGGACCTCGTACCATGACTAATACTAACACTCGTACTGTGGCTCGGTTGAAGACTCCTACTAGGTTTCCCGACTGCGATTTCTACAAGGATTCCCGGTCGGAGTTTTGCCAGAACTCTTTGCTGGGACTCCAAAGTGGACGCATATGAGGAATCCCTACCGGGACTCCTGGGACTCCGACGTGGCTCCATCGTGAGATTTCCTACCAAGAGACCTTCTAGAACTCCCTACCAGAACTGTTCATAGAACTCCCTAAACGGTCTTGTCGTAGGACTCCCAACGAGGAGTCTGAGTAGGACTTCCGACCAGGAATATGGAAATGGAGTTCCGGGTCGGTCTCGTAGTGAGATTCCCAACTTGAACTTTTGGTCGGAGTGCTTGCTAAAGAACACGTTGTATGACTCCCAACTACGACTCTTAGTAAGATTCTTTACTACGATTATTGGTCGGACTTCCTATTGTACTTGGTGAGACTCCCAACTAGGACTCTTAGCAAGACCCTATACATGGATTATTAGTAGGGCTCCCGACGAGGACTCTTACTCGGACTCCCTACTAAAAGTCAAAATAGGACGGACTCCCTGCTAGGACGGCAAGTAGGACTTCGCATGAGGATTCCTGCTAGGACTCCCCACCAGGACTTCCAGCCCGACTCTGTAGAAAGAGTCGTATTAGGACGCTTGACGAGCACACGGACTAGGACTCCCGCACAGAACACGTAGTAATGTTCCTTATTGGGGCTCTTAGTGCGACTTCTCACGCGGATTCTTAATAGGACTCCCTAGTCGGATTTGTAGTGCGATTCTTTTCTCGGACGTATAGCCGCAATTCCTACAATGACTCTTAGCAGGGCTCCATGCCAGGCTTTTGGGTAGGATTCCCTACTAAGACTCCTTTGAGAGGACTCCCTGCTGGACTATTGGTGGAACGTCCTGGCAAGACTCTGGATAAAACTCTCACTGGGACTCTTAGCAGGACTCTTCCTTAGAGTGGCGGGTTCCTGCTAGGACTCTTAGCGAGACCCCATACAGCGATTTTTAGCAAGACTCCCTAGACTCCTAGAAGGATTCCATACTAGGACTCTTAGCGCGACTCCCTTCGAAGACTCTCAGTCTGACTCCTTGAGTGGCCTCTTCAGTAAGATTCCATATGAGGACCCTTGGTAAGGCTCCTTACTAGGAATCATTAGCAGGGTTCTTTGACAAGACTCTAGCTATAGGACCCTCCCCTGATCGGACTCTAGCTAGGACTCCCCGCGAGGACTCTTAGCATCGCTCCCCACTACGACTCAGAGTAGTACTCACATCTAAGACTCTGAGTAGGACTTCCCAGTGGCATCGCTGGGGAAGCGCCGAGCGAACTCGCCATTCG